ATTTTAAAGTACAAATTTATACTGCACTGCCATGTGAGTGAAGTTGCCCCCCCACCTTCTTCAAATCCAACAAAAGTGGTATCAAACGTTTGTGCTGGTTTGTGCTGCAAAAATTTTCGTTTGTGCTGCTATCATTTTAAAGATATTAATAAAAATTTCTAGAGGTCATCAGAGGTCAACCAGCCCCCCCACATTATTAAATCAAACAAAATGGGTGTCAATCAACTGTGCTACGTTTGTGCTGCTAAAATTGTTGTTTGTGCTGCTTCTGTTTTAAAGATATTAATGAAAATGTAAAGGTCAAAAGGTCAACCAGCCCCCCACATTACCCAAATCAAACAAAATTGATGTCAAACGTTTGTGCTGGTTTGTGCTGCAAAAATTTTGTTTGTGCTGCTAACATTTTAAAATTTTAATAAAATAACGTCTTGATGCGTGCTTAATCATCCAGGTAAGTAAATCCCAAAAGGTTGATTCTGTTCATCTGGACATTTTCAGTTGGAGAAACTTTCTCACTCATCCAAGTGACTTCTTCAGTCTCAGCTGACTGCAGGAGAACCTTCCAGATGAGGCAGGTGCAGTAGATCTCCTGGGGAGGGAGGCAAGAGAGGTCCCCACAATGCTCTCGGCTGCTCTCACTACCCGTTGTCATTTTTTCCTGCAGAACCCAATGCAGGAGTCATACCACACAGTGATGCAGCTGGTGAGGATACTCTCAACTGTGCCTCTGTAAAAGGTGCTCATAATGGGGGTTGAATCTCTTGTGCTTCTCAGTTTGCAGAGGAAGTAGAGTCGCTGTTGGTCTTCTCCACATTCAGGGACAGGTTGTTGTTGCTGTACCACTCTGGCAGATGGTTAACTTCACCCCTGTAGTAGATCTCGTCGTGGGTCAGCAGAGTGAAGAGAAGGGAGCTCAACACACATCCTTGGGGAGCCCCCGTATTCCGTGTTCTTGGGCTGGAGGTGTTGCTGTCGACCCGTACTGTCTGCTGTCTTCCTGTCAAGAAATCTAGCAGCCCGTTATACAGCAAGGTGCTGATCCCCAGCAGATCCAGTTTGTGAATGAGTTGCTGGAGTTTGGTATGCGAACTCAAATGGATCCCGGTTGGGCGAAAGCGATAATTTGATTTGATGCATGACTAACCGTTCAAAGCACTTCATAAGGGTGAGGGTGAGCAGCACCAAGTTCCTGGGGGTGCACATCAGTGAGGACCTCTCTGGACCACCAACACAGCATCACTGGCCAAGAAAGCACAACAGCGCCTCTACTTCCTGCGCAAACTCAAGCGGGCAAGTGCTCCACCACCCATCCTGACTACATTCTACAGAGGAACTATTGAAAGTATCCTCTCCAGCTGCATCACTGTGTGGGGCGGTAGCTGCACTGACTATAACAGGAAAGCTCTACAACGCATTGTGAGAACAGCTGAGAGGATAGTTGGTGTACCACTCCCCTCCCTGCAAGACATTTACACCACTCGCCTCACCCGCAAAGCCATCACAATTGTCAACGATGCAACCCACCCCACGCACTGTCTGTTCAGCCTCCTGCCCTCTGGAAAGAGATACAGAAGTCTCCGCTCCCGCACTACCAGGCTCACCAACAGCTTCATCCACCAGGCTGTGAGACTGCTGAACTCTCTTCCCTCCCGGCTCCCAGCCAGCAGAATCACCAGATTGGCAGAAGTATAGGAAGACAGATTGGACTCTACCCCCCCACCCACGCACACTCTCCAACAAGGAAACACTCTCTGAACCAAGAACTGGAAAACATTCCTGACTGGAAACAACTACCTCTGCATTGCAATTGCACACACCTGCTGCTATATATTTTTAGTATTTCTTTTAGCACTATTTATATTATTATATTACTATTACTGCTGCTATAGTCTTATGCTGCATTAAAACAAAAACCCCTACCAACCACAACCTGGGACTACCTCAAGTAGACTAGTATACTATTTTCCAGGGAACACTGTTGGAACACTTTATTTTATTTATTTTTTGTCTATCCTGTTACCTATTTAATATTACCTTATTGTTAGGGCTGTTTTTGTTGTGCATCTGCACTTTATTGTTGTCAATGTCTACGCATGGGACAGTGTGAAACGTAATTTCAATTCCTTTGTATGGCAAGTACATTTGAAGAAATTGACAAATAAAGTTTTCTATTCTATTCTATTCTATAATGATGGAGGTGAGTTTGACAGGACGGTAGTCCTTAAAGCAGGAGGTAGATGACTTCTTGGGTACAGTAATGATGGTGGAGGCTTTGAGGCATGTGGGAACGACGGCCTGACCCTAGTGATGTGTTAAAGATGTCTGTGAAGACATTTGTGAGTTCCACAGCATAGTCCGTCAGTGCTCGTCCAAGGATGTTATCAGGACCTGGAGCTTTGCGTGTACTGATTTTGGCAAGGGATCTCTGTGACATCATGATGCATTTTGGGATGTAGCAATGACAGTTTCTGTATATTCCTGAAAGTCTGTGGTGTTGTCGTGTGTGGCAGCCTGTGGTGGAAAAGCAGTCTTGCAGTGCCTCTGAGGACCCTTCTGGCCACACCTGTACCTGCTTACGAACTGGTTTGGTGACTTTGACCAGGGGCCTGGGGGAACCCATGGCACACCTAGGTTTCTGCCTGTACTGACCCTTATGCAAAATAGGTGGAATTAAGACACAGTTCCAAAAGCAAACACAACTGATCAGTGCTGAGAGTGGTCCTGTTGCTGAGGTTGGGGTGATCCTGTAATCTCTTATGAACTACCTCCAACGCTTCTATGACTGGGATGCAAGTGAAGACAGATGTAACATCTCTCTCTCACTGTACATGTACTGTTTATAAAATTAGGGAAACATAACCTGCACAAACAAAATAATTTGCAGGACAAATGTTTGACATCAATTTTGTTCGATTTGAAGAAGGTAGGGGGGGCAATTTCACTCACATGTGTTTATAAGGTTGGGGAAACCTGCAGTCAGCTGAGACTGAAGAAGTCACTTGGATGAGTGACGAAACGTTTCTCCAACTGAAAATGTCCAGATGAACAGAATCAACCTTTTGGGATTTACTTACCTGGATGATTAAGCACGCATCAAGACGTTATTTTATTAAAATTTTAAAATGTTAGCAGCACAAACAAAATTTTGCAGCACAAACCAGCACAAACGTTTGACATCAATTTTGTTTGATTTGGGTAATGTGGGGGGGCTGGTTGACCTTTTGACCTTTACATTTTCATTAATATCTTTAAAACAGAAGCAGCACAAACAACAATTTTAGCAGCACAAACGTAGCACAAACGTTTGATACCACCTTTGTTGGATTTGAAGAAGGTGGGGGGCAACTTTACTCACATCCTCTAGCCTGCCTTTAACACTTCACTCCATCCTAAAAGGTGAGGGGAATGATACGAATCAGCGACTGAAACCTACTGAATGGAAGCATTTCGTGTGCTTCTCCACACGTTTCTTCCCCTTTCTGTACCTTATTATAAATTATGGTGCCTAAATCAGTATGCTCCTATATAACTGGTTACTACTGACGTTTCAAACTAAACTGTTTAATGGTTGTAAGACCAAGCGAGGATATGCTATCTTTACTTTTATTTGAAGATTCTAAGTACAAGTGGAGTGTGTAACATTGTAGCGATCAGTGTAACTGAATCTGGGCATTAGCAACACGAGTTAAAATGACTATATTACAGGGTAATGGATGTTCACTCACTTTTTTTCCAGTTCAAGGTGGCGGCGGGTGGGGGTGGGAGCTTTAGCTTATCCCAGGTTAAGAAGGGGAAAAAACCCGTGGTGAATTATCAGAAGAACAGACTGAAAGTTGAGGTTTTAAAAGTCAATTTCGTAGGTAAACTACGCTATTACCTGTTTAGAGCCTGAAAATTATAATATCATTATACAGAAACATTTTTTTTAACATAAGCTAATTGTTACCTCCGAGGGCAGCTTCAGCTCCAGCCACAAACTGCACTTCAAAGGGACCGCCGAGAGTTCATGCGGCGTTCACGGACTTCTGTTAAATCCCGACTCTTGAGAGTTAGTGGAACGCGTATTAAAATATTTAGACATAATGTATTAGAAAAGCTAAGTGTATAAAATGGGGTTTTGTTTGTTATTGCTTGTAAATAGTTTACATTTCCCTGCTGTCACAGGTTACCAGTCCATCACAAAGAAAGACAGAGAGGTGTTTAGACTCATACTGGCTGATTTATTTCCATCAGACTTTATGAACATGTGTCTGGACTGTGAGAGAACAATACAAACTCCACAGAAGGACCCAACAAGTAAGCAGTTTTCTTGTTTCCCACTAAGGGCAAGCACACTAACACTTTCACCTAGTGAAACACTGTCACCTAGTGGTAGACCAAATACTTTTACCAATAGTATTTTAAACTACAGTTTAAGACATGTACTCATAACAACGTATTAAAAAAAATTAAGGGGCATGGTGTTGGTGGGTATAAAAATCCATGAAAAAATAACGTTTTTTCACATTAAAGTGGCAAATTTTGGAGAAAAAAAGCGTGAAAACTTGGTGAGAAAATGACTAAATATATCTATAATTATATATTTAGATATATAATATATAAATCTCCCTCTACCATTGCTTTTTCTAAAGAAATTACTGTACTGTGATTCTATTATAACTTATGGGCAGATTTGGGGCTCAACATAGCAATATACAGTGCAGAAGTCTTGAGCCGCCAAACAACACAGCTTGAACTGTCTTAGCAAAGCGCTCCTGTAATTTCTTTCAATAGTCTTCAGGAATATATATGTGTGTGTGCGTGTGTGTGTGTGTGTGTGTGTGTGTGGGGAGAGAAGGGAGAGAAGGGAGAGAGGGATGTATGTATATTATATATATATAATATATATATATTATATGTTATATATATATATATATATATATATTATATATATATATATATATACATAATATATATATATATATTATTATTTATATATATATATATATATACATACATATATGTATGTATGTATGTATAAAACCCTTTCCCTGGGAACTTTTCACATATACCAGAAGTATGTTTTGTGTTGCCATGCAGACTCCCAAAATTGTCAGCTATTTTTGGTCTGCCTGGGAGTTTGAAGGATGCTATGAGTAAGACTTTTGCTGCCCTGCAGCTCTAAATGACCGCAGTCTGTGGGGGCTGATGGGGGTGATTAACACGTATGACTCAGACGATACTTTGCCTCAGGGTGAGATTTCTACTCTTTTCACTCTGTTGTGGGTTTACAAAAGAATTTAGATACTAAAATAGCAACAATAAGCTCTGACACATGTGGAATAATCATTGTTTTTCGGTGGGGTCTAACATGTGGACTGATTTAAATCTCCTCATGTGAAGACTGACAATGAAGACCTATCAAAGGCATTAGCATTTTGGATGTTATTCCTATAATTCCTCATCTTAATGTTCCCATTGTGCTCCCACGTGAATCGTATTGGGGGCATCTCATTTTCATCTGGGGGGAGTTTTTCTGTTTCCATGCCAACCACATGGAGCTAGGCATCGAAGCTCAGAGAGAAGGGGTATGTGTGTATGTGCGAGTATGTGTGTGTCTACGTGTGTGTGTGTGGAGGTATATTTCCCTTCAGGTGTTTTGGTCTTAAATTGCTTCCCTCCCAATCTACCACTGTTGCACTCCAGATGAGTTCAGTTCACAGCATTACTGTGTGTGTGCGTCTCTGTGTCCTGAAAGAAGCTTTTAGGTGTGAGGTCTATATTTAATGCCATGCTGCACAGTCCTTATATAAAAAAGTCTCCAACATCCACATTTACACATCACATATTTCTTCATTATTATTCATTCATTCCTTCAAACTGACTGAAAATCTGACTTTGAAGCCAGACATATTTTTTTTCTTGTTTCCTTAAAGCTCACGATGGACTACTTAAAAACTTTCACTTTTTATCTTTGGCACTCATGGTGATTATTAAGTGTGTTTGGTTTCACTGCTTTTTGAGAGCCTTAAGATTTTTATTATTGTTAGGTTGAGGTTTTGAATTAATTCAATTATAATTTGAGTAATTTTAAGAATTTATTCTTGTTGTAGTTAAGCTCTAGTTATAGGTTTGTTTGTTTTTTAGACTTTTGGATGCGGATTTAGATGGTTTACAGTTCTGGTGCTGTCTTTGAATTCAGTCCCTGTGTTTTCCCTTCACTTTCTCGTCTTTCTGTATTTTTTCCCTTGTCATCCCTCCAGAGTCTCTTTGTCTCGGTCTTTTGTTCGACTTTGTATTCAGTAATATGTCTTTTGGATTGTTTCCTGTTTGCCTTGATAGTGTATTATGGGATTTACTTCCTATTTACTCTGTTCTCTTGATTACTTTCACATGTTTCTTGTCCCCTTCCTTATTGATATTTGTAGTTTTGTGTAATATCCCTGTATACTGTTGTGTACTCAGACTCCTACATGCAGCTACTAGAGTCAGGTTAACTAGCTATTTCAAATTGCCCATAGGTGTGAATGTGAGTATAAATGGTGCTCTCCATTAGCCTTGTAACAGATTGCCGACCTGCCCAGTGTGTGTGCCCCACTTCTCACTCTATAGCAGCTGGGACAGGCTCCAGTTCCTCTATGACCCTAAAGTGGGTAAGCAGAAGAAGATAGATGGACTTTATGTCTTTCATATACATTCAAACTACCGTCACAGTGGTTTGAGTGTGTATGAAATATTTGCCAGATTTACTACTACTCATGTTTATAACATATTTTGCTGTCAGATTGGGCTCTTTTGCCATTAGTCAAGTTAATTTATTCATAAGCAAATTTAAAAACAACAGAGGAAGACCAAAGTGCGGAACACACTGAAAAAAAAAAGATGACAAGACACAAAAACAAAGAAAAGTGGGGGAAAAAAAGCTTTAGAGTGTTAAAGTAACCAAAGAATTATTCCAGAGTGTTCTAGCTTAAAAGACAGGTCTTCCTGTCGTGTCCGATTTGGACTCAATGCAGAACTCATAAAATAGGTTTCATGTACAGGAAGGAACAGGAAAACAAACGCCAAATCAGACAAACGTAAGAATTCATGAGAGACAATTCCACTAACTGTTTGCAATTCAACAATCAACAATCAAATCCTCCACCTTAGGTAGAGAGCAGCTGAGTCATCCCAGGTGTGGGAGCTGAAGAGCGAGAAAAAAGGAGGACCCGCCCCTGAAACACAAGGCGTGGTTAACTTGCACACACTCAAACACCATACACACACTGACAGGGAGAGGGGGATAGAAAGATAGTTTAATAATAAAATAAAACAACTGCCTTCTCATCCCAGTCAGTACTCTAAGTGTTGACTTCTTGGCATCACTACAGCACCAATAAGGGCATCACCAAAGTCAATATAATTTATTTACTCAGAGCATCCACATAAATCAATTTAACTCATTTCTGACAGATACCAACACTTTGGCATTTTTAAAAGCCTTACTTTGGTTTGATTCAGTTTTATAGCTACCTGTTCTAGTTTGAAAGCTCTCTACAGATGTCAGGTTCACATAGTCACCGCTGACCTTAACCGCCCAGTCCATGTTGGATTGATAACATTCAAAACTGGTGCCTTGACTTAGCTTTTAAAAATTGGTTTCAGGATTCCTTAGCAAGAGTGTTAGCTTGTAACAGCTTTCCCAAGATATTTTTTATCCATCAGTTTGGCTGTTTTCACAATCAGAGAGCTGAGTGCAGCAGAATAAAGTGAATTTATTAAAAGCAAACTGTATGAAGCTGAAAGCCAGAATCTGATGAATCGTAATAACCTACTTTTCAGCAGTTAGACTGCTTCAAATTGTCAGACAAACACTTTCTCTTTTGGCATTAAATGATGTACTCTGGCAAAATCGCAGAGATTGGTGGAATGTGAAAATGCCTTATCAAAGCAATCAGTCCAGCTACGTGCAGGGAATTCTGACTGTAATAGTGCAGCGTGGTAGTAAAACCACGCCTCAGGTGGCAGTGTGCATCTCTGGGAGAAGAAGCGAGAGGCATGAACAGCTTGTAACCCCTACATCATAAATCCCACCTCCTCACCATTCTGTGTGCATACATGGAAAGGCGGAGGTGAGAAGAGCAACAGCAAGACCCTCAGCCCCAAATAGAGCAGGCATCAGTGGCAGCAGACGGCTTAAGTGGAGGTGGTGCAAAGTGGCCCACAGATGCACAGCAGTTTCAGCTTCAGATTAGACATTAGTCAGTGTGGGATAACATTTCACGTAACTAATGCAATCCTCAGTATTTCGTGAAAGCCTTACATTAGTGAAAACCTGTAACTGTCACAATCTTTTATACTAAACTGCATATTTCTAGCAGACTTGCTCACAGGACATCTGACCTTTTTGTTACTATTTTCATCTGCAGCAAAAGCCCTTATATATGTGTGCATCATTACAGTAAACTGTTATAGATATCATCATTTCATGTTTCATGAGTTTTGTTCAAATCCCATCATATTTTTATTCTTGCACTCTTCTAATGTTGCATGATTTACAGTTGGAAATAATCTTGATACTGGGCTTTGGTGCTGCCCTTCAGTTTACTGATGATCTGAAACAAGTGTTTACAGCTTCCTACGGGGAATACTTTGTTTGTCCTACGTCCCCGTAGACAGAAATATGATTGTAACCCATGTGAAGTCAGGAAAGTGTTTACTGAGATTACAGAGAAAGAAAACCATTTCTTCATAGACTTCTAAATAACTGCCCATGGCAACTGTTTTCAGTGTAAAACATCTGATGATATGAATTGACTGGACTGATGAGCTGTGGAAACACAGTAGCCAGCTGGTGATGGTGTTTGCTAAGGTGATAATGTCAGATGCTGTGTTTTCACTGTATTCCATTTTCCACAAATGGTCAAAATGATCCATAACTCAAGATTTTAGTATTTAAATCACATGTGTGACAATCCACAGCCTTTAATCACACCCTACGTCTCAGTTGGAAAGAGCCACTCCTGCACTC